AGGAGATTGTGAGTTCTAGTCCCTCCTTAGACATAAGGCAAGTTGGGTGACTTTGCGCCAGCCATTGGGCCATTCTTTCTCAGCCCTGGGAAGGAGGCAATGGTAACCCATTTCTGAAAAACTGCCCAGAAAACTATAGGGACATATGTCCAGGCAGTTCCAAAAAATCAGGCACAATTGAACAGAAGGAGAAAGAATCCTTGGAGAATTTCCTTAAATAGATACGATTCTGGTTAGATGGGTTAATTGTTGAGACAGTAGGAAACATTGTCATCTATTCAAATTTACGCATCTCCCTAATATGTCTCATTTGCTTTTCCTTTTAAGAAAAATCAATGTAACCTGAAGATCACAATTATTTCACCTGTTCCAACAATGGATCTCTTAATATGGCCTTTAGAAAAGGTAAGTGAGAAGCACAGGCAACTCTGCCATTAGGCCAAGTGAGTCAACTGCCTCAAATAACAAATGTCAGGAAAATGGTAATTCTAGCACATTGCTCCTGAATCTGCAACCATTGCTCTCTGATAGAACCTAGGATTGTATCAGACTCCTAACCTCTCCAGAGCAACTGACCTCACTAGGTCTGCCTGGTGAAGGATGTTATCCCAGGTATTGAGAGATACAGATACCATATTATCCTTCATCTCAAGCAACAGCATGTCTTGAGTCACCCTTATGGCAAAAAGGTCCGTGGTCAGCAAAATCAAAAGTACTCTTGCTATATCCTCTTGCTCTTTTGGAGACCTGGACCTCATGGCCTCTGGGATTAAAGTCTTATTGAGAAGTGATAGCAAAGGCAGGAACAGCATTCCTGTCTTCTACAAACCAAGGCACACCACTTTAGTTGAGGCATAAAACAACACTTTCTAAAGGACGGACCAAGGACATCCTGGAAGCCTTCTCAGCTTCTCAAGCTGTGCACCAGAATTAGATCGTTTGTTAGGCATGACTGATCTGAAATATTTGAACAGTCCAAATGAATGTACCTTCAGGCTGCTACAATATGCCATACTCCATGTGCTATGGACAGCTATAGAAGGAAAAAGGTGTGGCTTTGGTTATGGCAGCAGCAAAGGTCAACTTTCTGGCCTCACCATCATATTGCCCATCTTGATAGGAACATGAGCTGGTAATTGGCATCACAACATACGTATCTATGTACCTCCCAAGACATCTAGTCAAATAGAACTGCTTTGGCACAATTTATCCAAGCAGAAGATGGTGGGAAAATCTGACTGATGGAATTGCTGATCTCATAAGGGTTTAGAGTAGGCTTCAAGCAACCTGAAATTCACACCATTTGGTTCAGTATCAAACGCATGAATACTAATTTGGATAGAATTTCTTATAAGGAATTACTTAGTCTGGTAGGAAAGGATTGGCAAATTAAATCCTTAGTAGATTTGCAGAAAGAAAATATTGTATATTCTTGGTTTTATTATAATCAATTGTTAATGAGGTGGAGCTTAGATCAAAAAGTTGGTATTGCTTTGCAGGATGTGAATTTGATAAAACAGATTAAAGATCAAACTCGAGCCCATATAAAGAGAATTTATAATGTTTTGATAGAATTGGACTCTGAAACGGAATTAGTTAAAGATTGTATGGTAAAATGGGCTCAAAATATTCAGGAATCAATTTCATTAGAAATATGGGAGATAATTTGGGTTAGAAATGTAAAATTTATTCAAGCTCAAAATTTAATAGAAAATTTTTATAAGATGTTTTATAGGTGGTATTTGGATCCTCAAAAACTGTCCTGTATGTATCCTAATTTACAGCCCAAATGCTGGAGATGTGGAAGTTTAGATGCAACTTATTTCCATATTTGGTGGACGTGTAGGGATATAAAAGCATTTTGGATTAAGATTTGGTGGAATATTCAAAATATTTTTAAGAAAAAG